CATGGTTCATCCATGCATAAAGATCGATCAGGTAGCGTAAGTGATCGCTACTTTTGTAGCGCTCCTTGAAATGGCGCGGATGAACGCAGCCATTGTGAAATTTGCGACCGTTGTCTGGGACCAATTAAAAAATTACTTCTATGACATTTATTCGTTTCTTAACCGCTCATTGGCCGTTCACCGACTAAGGCCGATAAAGATAATTATTTCATAAATTTTGAACACGACCATATTTCGAAACTCGCTCTTAGTAACAAATCTAGTTACTTTTCCCTGTGTAAATGCGTCTTTTCAATTCGCTCCTCCTAGTTTAAAAACAGAGTATAGTGAGTCGAGTCCATGTCGTATGAGAAAACCAAACTCCTTTACCGTAGAAAATTTCAATCTTTTGGAAGTAGCCTAATTCATCGATGGGTTAGTTCGGGGCCGAATGAACCAATCAACTGTCCTAAAGGGCCCCACTCACCTCGTTCTTCTTCGCCGTTTTTAACCAACGGTTAAAAACGTTGGAAGGAAAAACGTTGACTGATATGTCCACACACAACAGTTTTTTTCGAGCCAGTTTATCACTATATGGACCGTACGTGCTTGTTAGCAGTGGCAGTGGTTTTGGCAGTGGAAAAAATCGCGAAAAAAGAAAATTTCAAAGAAAATGGACTAAAGACTGGCTACTTAAACGCAGAACAAAACTAGTAACACCGTTAATTGAGAAACATATTACCCATTTACGGGAATGCATCAGTCCTCACGAACGCCTAACAGTTACTCTGCGGTTTCTGGCCACTGGCCGCAGCTACGAGGATCTGAAGTTTTCTGTTATTATTTCACCGCAAGCACTAGGACGCATAATACCCGAAACCTGCCAAGCTCGATAAACTCTAATAAAAAATAAATCTCTGTTCTGTCTAATATCCGAAATTTTTATTATAACCAGTTGTAAATAATAATAAACAACAAAAATATGCTGATCGTCACTGCTACTGATAAATCCCCGACCAGTCAAACTGTTGAGAACACACACCTCGTGTTTACTCGAACGGTTAGCACGATAACCGTCAAAAATCAAGACTCGCCTGAAATTTTGGAACGACGTTCTTGCCCATACACCTCGTTTTTGTGACATTTTTACCCAAACGTTTTTAAGCGTCGGGTAAAAACGGCGGGGAAGAACGAGGTGAGTGGGGCCCTTAACAGACAGACAAATGACACGTAATTAAGTTCTTTTTAATTATAGAGAGTCATATCGCATTTTATACGACTACCAAGTTTTGATGAAAAAACTTTTTTCTACAAGCGTGCGAGAAGATGATCTTCTCGCACCCTTTCGAATGCGAGAAGTTTATCTTCTCGCACGCAAAGAAATATAAATTGAAAAAAAAGCAAGGTATACTTACCGCCGAGGCCCGGGTTTGAACCTAAGATCTTTGCGTTATGAGCCCGAAACCCTAACCACTACACCAATTCAGCACATAACATCGGTTTAATCTATGTATACTTAAATTGTATGTTGTACCTAATATGTCATTATACAGGTTAATTCTCTATTTTAGAAATAAATGCGCTTGTAGAAAAAATGTTGATCGTAACACGTGCTAGAAGCACTTTTAGCGATAACTACTATATCGTAGGAAAATTTCAAATTTTCCGACACCATCCGATAGAGAAATTTTAAAGTCGCATTTATTTTAAATTATAATATTCTGAAATAACGCATTTTTTTTATTTCTCCCTCCCGCTGTCATTAAAACTGTAATGTGGTGTATCATTCAACGCGTCTCGTCCAGCCGGATAATTCTTCTTAAGAACAAACCGAACACCTTCTGAGCCTTTATTTTTAGTCCGTTTTTTGGAAAAATTTCAGGAAATACCAATAACAAAACTTATGTTGGAGAAACCTTGAATTTTTTGTAAACCTTCGCAAAGTATTTATTTTGAAAATTTTTAAAAGGAAGTTAAAAAAAAAACATTCTATTAAATCTACAAAAAATTTCTGCTATTTGTTTTAATAAATATCTAGTAGTTTTTAAATGGGAGGATTTCCCACCTTTTTTCTTAAACGTCGCTGTAGAGTGCTGCCTTATCGTTGCATAAATTTAAAGCTCTAATATTGTCAAAACACATATATTACGATGTACTCCCAGTGGCGCGCATACAATTTTTTATATTAGAAAATCCTAAAAACAATTTTGCTTTCGCGAGAGGTCCGATTTGCTCTTGTCGTTGTGCTCTATCTCAAGATTGTGAGGAACATCGAGCAGTACTTATACGTGAATTTTTAGTTTTTACGGAAAATTCGTCGGAAAAGTCAGAAATTTCGAGAAACAAAAAATATATTTTTTCGATTTTCACCAAACGAACGAAAATTTCCCGAAATGGATAAATCCGCTGTTAAAAAGTTGGGTCAACGGATAATTGTCGGAAAACCTGTTTCTCGAAAAAAAAAAAATTTCTACATGTTTCGACAGAAAATTTCAATGTTTCGGAAGTAGTAAAATTTCGTAACACAGGCGGACAGATAGGCAACACGTATTTAGATTCTTTTTATTATTTATTCTGTTTCGGTCCCTATTTTCAATCATAAATCTGCACAAACTGATCAAAACACTGTTTTACTCAATACACGACAAAACCCGCTTTCTTGAAAAAGAACAAGCTTTAACAAGAAAACCACCAGACAACAAAAGTGTGAGAATAATTAATATGATTTTCTAATTAAATATGCCAACGAAAGTTATGCAACTAACATGCAAACAAAAGTAATATCGGTTGCATAAATATACAATTTTATTAAAAATTCTTCGCACCCTTTTGAAAAAAATGTTATTCTTCAAAAAAGTATTTGCTTGTGGCAAAACTAATAATAATCCAAACAGAAGTTATTGAATATCGCTTTTAGTGAAATAATGGCAAACATGTAAAAAAAAAATTGTCATTATTTTACTAAAGCAAAGAGATATTCAACTTCTGCTGTGCTATTTTTTTTTTTTTTTTTTAATTAGCAAAAACTTTTATTACCAATAATATTTTTCTTTTTCAGTATTGTACAGTTTAATATTTTGGGGGTGCGCAACCTTAGAATCACATATATAATAATTGTTGCCAACTCGATGCAAAAAAAAAATAAAAGTAGCACCGTAGACGAAAATTTCAAGGTCAAATGCCTTTGATGAAAAGTAGAAAATTGCATGAGTTAAAAAACTCGTTCTTTCGTTTAATAAACGAATTGGCATGTTGGCAGCGGGGCCTTTGTTCGATTTGCTCGGACAGTGAACAGTCATTTGAATTATTTGTTATGTTTACACACAACGAATAATTTTTTGCGGCCACGCCCTAAAAGACTGTTAGCACTGGATTGAAACATTTCTAACATACAAAAATATGTAACAAACTTTATTAAGAAGGTAATAAATATACAAAATGAACATGTAAATTAAATTAGATTTATTTAAAGAGAAAATCCATACGACGATCTTTTAGCAGTAGAAAACTTATCAATAACCCTCCGATTGAAATCGGGTATGCTTTCAATAAGATCACTTTCTTTAGAAAGCATTGCCAATGCCGAAAGTCTTTCTTGGCACCTGGTATTTCTTAAAAATGTTTTTATTAGTTTGAGGGTTCAAAAGCACCGTTCTGTTCCAGCTGAAGCCATAAGAATGGTAATTAAAATTTTTATGAGTTTAAGAGTGTCACTAAAAGTTTCACTTAACTCGATATTTTGAGAAATAAAGTTATAAAGCACAAGGAGTCCTGAAACTGATTTAAATTCTTCTGTATCATAAATGACGGTCAGTTATGTACGGAGTTTTTGCTCGATGAATAATGGGTAATTTTTATTGTCTCTTTAAATTTTTCTTCAGGATAACAGGTACTGACTGCAACTAAGTGGCCTGTGAAGCTGAATCGTTCATTTGCTTGACAAATAATAATATCACAAACTTCTTTTGCTTCCCGAGATAATTCCGCAGTCATCCAGCTTGTTCCGCTTTGAATTAGATGAAGATGGACCAACGTCGTTTAAAATGCTATTTATAATTTCTGTTAACTTAGTTTCAAATGATGATATAATTTTTTTTGCGATAACAGCGTCAATTTGTCTTGTTTGAAACTTACCAAATAACAAGTCAAGCATGTGGCATTATCTTGTAAAATAAGTTTAACCAGGACACAAAAGTTTTGCTTTTAAGGATTTTGACATATCCTGATGCTTGGTTGGTAGTACTCACGTTTCTACTTTCATTTAGAAGTTTTTCCATCATCTCCAGAATGCCATATTTATATTCAAATACGGTATAAACCACTCTGGAATTAAAATTCCATCTGGTCGGGGCTGAGTGTGGTAAGCGTTTTTTAACGATTTGATCCAGTATTGCAGATCTCTGAGAACTACTTGAAAAAATAGTACAAATTTTTTGTAAATTTGCAAAAAAAAATCGAACATTCTTGTTTGCGGAAGCCGAGTTTAACATTACCAAGTTTAATTGATGTGCATAACAATGCACGTATGCAACGTGTTCATGTTTTTTTCATAATCGCTTGCACCCCGTTAGACCACCCGCTCATAACTGATGCACCATCATATGTTTGGGCAATAAGTTTGCTTCTCTTGTCTTTCACGTGCTTCTCAAGTTCGGTGAGAATAACCGAAGATAAAGCTTTGGCGTCATGATCTGAAGGCATGCCATTTACAATGTATCTAACAATTGCCATTTGGAATTTATTTGATACAGTAAAGATTGTAAAATTTCATTTTGGATGGTTTTTGACGTACCTTTAAATACCGATGCTTTTTCTAGATGCTGTTTTAGAGCACCGTCTAACTCAACACTAAAATCAATTAATCCTCGAAAAACCCCGGGATTAGAAGAAGACAATCTTTTTGCCATATTATTTTTATCTGCTTCTGCATAACCAGCCATGTACAATTCGAAAATTATCTTTTATTATAATTATTTCATAAACCTTTTAATTTAAATAAATGCAAAATAGAAATTGGCAAACGGTATCACTGTGGTTTTATTCCAAAACAAGTTTTACTACATAAATACAATAGCTATAAAATATGTTACAGATTATTCAAAATTATTTAACAACCTTGTGGAATCAAAGTACTTTAAAAATTACAGTTTGCAAGATACACTAAGAATTTTTTATTTAAAACTACTTAATGTCAAAGCTAACTCAGTCAGTATAATTATAGTACAGTTTTAAAATCATCCAATACAAGATGAAATACAACTTATAGTCAAATTATTAATAAAATGTTTTATATAAAGGATCTATTAGTAGTGTTGAGATTAACTTTTTCCATTATAGACTTCACATAAGCTTCGTGAATTTGTTTTGTAAAATCAGAATTGTTTTTAAGGAGATATATAAGAGCTTGGGCTAATTGTTTTTCTGTCAGCAAGTCAATTTGATCAAATTCAGTTGATGAATTTTCCATGGTTTCAGATGATTTTGGAGTAGTAAACATCATAGGAGTCATCAAATGGGGCTTGCTGGAATCTATCAACTGAAATAAAAATAAGAAACAATTTTTAGACTTTCTTTTCCAAAAACAAAAATAAAAAATTTAAATTTAAGAAAGAAAGGATAGTTATCAAAACTTCAAAATACTGAGAGAATTTTCTTAATTGTAAAAAATAAGTAAAAAAATAAAACACTAAAAATTAATTACAATATTTTAAATTTTGATATTTTCAATTTTCGGGATGGTAGAATGTTCTAAATATAATGTAGGTCAGAATAATTATTTTACATTATTTCACAATTAGATTTCAATAGAACTATTATACCGATATACAGTATGTTAACTCCAGGCAAAATAAAGATAAGACGCTTAATTATATTTGGATCTGAGACAATAAAGAGAGTAATTGGATTAACCATGCCATTTCAATAACAAGTATGTAATATTGCGGTCCCCACTCAGCGAAGGTATTATTCTATTTCTCTCTATTCAATGGCAAAGTTAACACTTTGTATATACAAAGAGGCAGACAGAGAAGTCACACATTGAACGCCGAAAATACAATTGTCAAATTACAAAAATAAAATACTCTAATTGTAATTTATTATTGTACTTCGAAAACTAGTAAAGGTACCAAATACGCTGGAATTTATGCTAGGCAAATCTGTAAGTACCTATTGCAGCTCTACAAGATTTGCTGCTGCCTTATTGGCGAATGGTTAATTTGTATTAGTTGCAACAGATTCTCGGTCTTGTGTTGTTTAGACAACTGTAATAATTGGCATTATTATTTGAAAATATAAATATTTTACCAAAAAATTCTAAAAAAGTATTTTCTAAGAAAACACACGTACTCCAATAAAAACAACAATTAGGTTATTAATCTAGTCAATGGCTTACATTGAAGAAGATAATTCAAGGTAGAACGTAGACATTCCAACAAGTAGAACTGTCACGTAAATTTTGGATTTAAATAGAGAGACTAGACAGAAAAAGAAAAGATTCGAGTGAGGACTGAGGTACAGAATTCCAAAGGCGAGAACTCTTGTTTTCGGGACCCTAAGACCCGAAACAAAATAATGTGTAAAGTTTTGTGCAGCGATTTGTGAACTATGGGTAAATATCTAACGTATTTTTAAAGTGTTTTGTTTGAGATAATTAATTGATTTACATATAAATGCCAATTTTAAATTTTCGTCCTGAGTATTATATTTATCTTATATACAGGGTGTTAAAAAAAAGTGTCACAAAATGAAATGGTGAATAGTATGACCCAAAATAAGCAGAAAAGTCTTAATAAATATATGACCGCAAATTAACGGTTTCGGAGATACGGACCATTTTGTGTTTATAACAATTTTTTATTATTATAAAAAAACAATGATATTTATAAACAATCAATAACAACATAGAGTTAAATGAGATGTTCAAAGTGCCCTCCCTCCATTTCAATGCATTGCCATTTGCACGACCGTACATAAAATGCATGTCAGCTAATTCAATATTAGTGTAAACAGGCATAACGAAAATTTATAAAATTATTCACCCACAACAAAATAATAACTGCAAATAGTATCTATGAAAAAACATCGGTGGACTCCGATAAGAAAAGCAAGTTTTTGAGAATGAAAAAAGATAATCAAAAAATGATACAAAACACTCCGTATCTCTGAAACCATTCATTTGCGGACATATGTTTATTAAGACTTTTCTGCATATTTTGGCCCATACTACCCCCGTTTTATTTTGTGACACTTTTTTTTAACACCCTGTATATTATATTATTAGATAGCTAAAGTTTCCAGTGCTAATTTTAGTTGTTATTAAGTCCAAACTATATAATAAAATAGTCCGAACATTTGAGAAGCCTCTGCGTTCCTATTCCCTTAGAACTAGAAGAGTCTAAAACTAGTTGCCAAAAAACGCTCGACTATGCTATTAAGGGATAATTTTTCTTTTAATTTTTTCATTATTTTTATTAGCCACTGGTGAATGGATGTTCCTTCTGGACTCCAGGACCCTTTGGCTTAATCTCTTGATAGTATATTAACAACAGTAGCTACAGACATATCAGTAGTTACAAGTGGTTACTCATAGCACAGGTAGTACATTTCTTACACCAGTTCTTTACATCATCGCAACTGTTCATCCAGTAAAACCTTTCCCCGAACTCTCTGAAGGGTTTTCTTAACTCCTGTTGTGTAACTGACGAAGTACGTTGGCTACTCTACTTTTAGGAATAATCAACTGTCTTCTGTTTTGAAAACCATAATCATTTTCAAGTACTCGCTTTAATAAGCCATCTTCCAGAATAAAAGAGTCCCACTGAGCCAAATATGACTTAAGTACTGGAGAGAGATTATATACTTCTTGCCAAGTAGGTCGACGATTTTCCTCTTTCCATTGTCGCATCTTCTTTAAAACGGTATCGTTCTCTTGTTCTTCCCTAATTTTAGCAGGGACCCACTCATCGCTGACAACCGACGTTCTTCGTACTGTAACTTCTTTAGCAGATGTGACCAACCCTTTTCCAATCAGAGTTCCTTGGCCAACATCTTCATTGCGCTTCGAAAGGTCCGCCATGACAGGCGTTGCTTTCTCTACAGTTCCTTGCAACCGCGTTACTCTTATGGTTTCACTTCTTTCAGGCAACGCCGTTCCTTCCTGTACAATAACCGGCACGGTTTTTCGATTCGTAGTGCTCTTTGGGCGTTTGCGCGAATAGTCTTCGGTTGCTTCTCAATAAGGCTTCTTATCATGTGAAACAATTGGTCCAATTTATTTCCCTGTTCTTCCTCTTTTACAGTCCTTACTTCACTGTATTCACAAGAAGCCAGTGTAGCCGCTTCATATTCAAGAGCAGCGGACAAGACATCGACCTATGTTTTGTGACGGGCTAACCGGAGTGTTCTTTGCATTTCAAGGTCACGAAGTCCGTCTACAAATGCTTGACCAGCCAAACATTTAGCAAAGGTCCTGTTTGGGCGTGAGATGAGACTACCGCGCGATCTTTAACTATTTAGCTGTGCGAATTCACTATTGAGCGCTGTGATATCGTTCATGGCCGTGCCTGAGGCCATGGGTCTCGGTATTTCGGTTCGTGGATTTTGAATTAGCTTTTGAATCAAAGACGAAGAATTTTTAAAATGTTTAGCATTATTTGTTCCGAAATAAAATCGTTGGTTTTCTTCCTAAAATTTTTAAAAATACCACTTTATTTCAATTCTTGTCTTATATTTTCTAGTCATTTTAATCAACAAAAATAAGGTAAGTATGTAATAATAGAAAATATTTACAATTCAAGATCAATTTAAGTAGCCTTCGCCTTTCTTAGAAAGGATTAAAATATGTAATCGGCAGAAAGTGTTATGCAGATAGTAAATTATTTTAGTTAAGATTTACATTTCTGTTCCTATAGTCCTGTGATTGTAACACGCATAATTTTTAGTTAAAGCGATAAAAAGGCTTTAAAAAGCGTTATAGATCAAGTGAATTTGTGCAATAAAAATGGCACAAACGTCTAATTATACTCCTGTGAAATTAAAGTGCAATTTAACCGTGCATATGAAAACTTTAGTGTTAAATGTACATGACGATCTTGTACATGAACATTTCAATAGTACTGTTCGGAGTATAGTGTAAGGGGTTTTCTCGCCTCAGAGAAAACGGTTCCTTACGAATGGCGCTGGTTACGGACGGTTCTCGAGCGCCAGATTTTTGGTGATGGTTTACTCCACAAACTCTCGAAACGGCGTCGAAAGTACTCGGGCAGCACAGATGGAGATAAAAAATTCCAGGGGTCAAAGGTTACTTAGACTCAGGTAATTAGTAGCCACAAGTAATGGGCTTTAATCATTACTTGTGGTTGCAAAGAATTTCTCACTGCTGAAAAATAAGGGGGAAGTAAATTGGGGATTAGTAAACTCAGTCACGGTAATGTTGACACATATATTGATTTAACTATATACAGTTGAAAAAAAGAAATAAAAATAATATATTTCAACGCCCACCCTCGGTTATGAAACCCTGAACAAAAAAAAATGAAGCTAAACAAAACGGTAACGAACGGCTGATATAGTTGACAGGTATTCTCAATCAGACTGCTTAAACTGGATACGGTGAAGGGGTCGCGTATAAAAAAAATGTATTCGGAAATCTCAGACTAAGGTCAAAATTTAAATCTCGGATAGTAGGAATTCTAAATTTACGGCAATTACTCTTAAATCGCAAAAAAAATCTAATTGTAAATCATGGATAATACGGATTCAACAATTTAAATTTACGGTAATTGTTTAAATCGCAAAGCAAATCAAAATTTTGATCAAGGATAATATTAATTTTAAAAATTCCAAAATTTACGGTAATAAATCAAAATGTAAATCAAGGCTAGTATGAATTTTAAAAATTTAAACTGCGGCACTTCTGCAACTCGTGAGGACCACTCGAAATCTTTCTAAATGTTTGTTTCGTTTTTAAAACCCCTGAAGCCAATGAGCAAGCTACGCTGAATCAAACCCACACTACCTCTTATTGTTATTTATTATTATAACCCCAGGTCGGACAGGAATATCTAGGAAGAAAAATAACACAGGGAACTTTAAGCCCTCACTGAGTTATTTGGGAATAGACAGGAAGGAAAATTAACACAAGGAACTTTAAGCCCTCACTGAATTAATTGCGGATAGCTAGGAACGAAAATAACACAGGGAACTTTAAGCCCTCACTGAGTTATTTGGGAATAGACAGGAAGGAAAACTAACACAGGGAACTTTAAGCCCTCACTGAGTTAATTGCGGAAAGCTAGGAACGAAAATAACACAGGGAACTTTAAGCCCTCACTGAGTTATTTGGGAGTAGCCAGGACGGAAAAATAAAGGAACGGAGATTTTATATTCAAAACAGGAAATGATACCTCCCCTTCAGTAGAAAAAAAAATCGCGAACAGTCAAACTAAACCAATAAAAAATGAACAATATTCAATTCCCTTATTTCCCACGGTTAGGAATTTAACAAATCTATTCTTTTAAAAGTCTAAATTTAAA